CGATATGTCCATTGGAAGATCAATAGGGGCAGTATCTCTAGATATGGCCTGTGAATACAACTCCTTGGGTTCATTCCTAGCAACGTCTTCAAGCACTGATCCTTCACCTCGGGATGTGGCATGTAGGTCTCTTTGTGCTCTTTCAATCTTCGAATAGCTCGCCAGGGGAGCAGTCATCTGCGGCCGGGCATGCTTGTGCTGTTTCCCGCCACTGGCCCTCTCCAAGTCGCCTACTCTGTCAGAGAGAGATGCCAGCTCCCGCTTCACAATCGCTTCAACCTCTCGTAAGGGGATTCCCTTCTCCTCTGTAGCCTTTATGTCCCGCCCCCGGTCGTCTCTCAGCGCTGCCAACTCGTCACTGATGCTAGCGACAATCCCCATCATCTCATCCAAACGCTCAACAACCCCAGCAGCTGATGAGTGTAACACACCCACACCAGCCTCGCGAAGTTTCCCGACCACCTCCGCGCGAGCCATACTGTCCAGGCCATCAATGCTATGCCGCCGAGCTAAACCTCGCAGTTCCTCGAAAGTGAGAATGGCTAAGTCTACGACGTCACCCAGGCTCATCCTGCACCAGATTACCGCAGACACGGCCGCAGCAAGTCTCGAAAATAGCGTCGTAAAGACAAGCCAGCAGTGTGAACAGAGGCGCGAGCACTGCACTCCAGCGCGTGATCCAGCGCGTGATGCAGCGATGTAGCGATGTAGGTAATCCAGTTAAACGCAACGCACAACCCAGCCCTAACGCTTAGGATTAGACCAGACCTGGACCAGGACTTCATCCAATGGCAGGACACTGCCAACTCAGCCAACCTGAAGATATAACGGCAACCCCAGCCAGCTCCAGACCAAACAGCAACCAAGCAACTCAGCAGCCAAGCAAGCTTCTTCCTCCAACCAGAGCATCCAAAAGTCCAACCAGCACCTAGCTCAACGTGAGAAAAAACATACCTACGCATGCTGATGCATCAATGAACGTTAAACACCTTGAAGTAGCGAATCGAATTCTCTTCAACTCCCATTTGGAGTGAACCTAGTCGAATGTTGCAAAATCCATTTCATCCCTAGACACTACTACTTGTTCTTGCGTCGAGGACCTAAGTCTATTGCCCAAGTAGTTTCTGGTCATGGCTGTCTAGACTAGGGAGTAGGGGCCCAAGTCTTGGAACCTGCTTGGCATGGCTAGAGCAGAATCAACAAGTTTCAGACGTAACCAAAGGTCACCAGGTGGCCTGTTCACAAGGAAATACGAATACTGTTCTTTGGTGCAAACATAGCTCCATCCAGCTACGAACGTCTTCTTCCTTTGTCATGTCTTTGCTTGAGAACATTTACCAGTCATAGGCACCAAAGAATATTAGCTCCTGATGTCTCCTTTCCTGAACGGATCGAGCTCAAACAAACCAACAAACAGCCTTCTTGTCGAGATTTGAATTTTACTCCTGGCCGGCCTGCTCTGAGCCTGACCCGCGACCTGATTTCTGCGAACGCCGTTTTTCTAGTCGGCCGTGCGCCTCATAGATTTTTGTATGACATAAGATATGCGCGAACACGCTGCGCACTGAGTTCGCTGTTATCCCTACTTTTTGACCAATAGACCAACGCTGGAAATGCACTTGTTAACATTATCATGCTCTGGCCTCTTTTTCTGTATTTGCAGAATCTGCCACTCCCGTGTCCAAAACAACAGATCCTGACAAACAAGATCAGGCAACAGGTAAGAATTTAGATTTGATAGAATCATATAATGCAATAACAACACTTGAAGATGGCATTCTGGAGTCAGAGTCATGAGGCCACCAATGTCCATATGCAGCGAATAAAAATGGAAAATGGCCACCAAGTGGGTCCCGCGCTACCACTTTTTGGTGCTGTGATATCAATCTTGGGAAAGTCACAGTAAAAGTCATGAAGCTTTGGGACGGGCACAGCCACCTTGTGCCAACGCATTTTTGTGCCGTACTGTGAATCTACTAATTTTCGGCCCATTCAAATTTAGGCCTCCCAGGGCTAAATAAAACCCATTTTGGCCGCATCAAATTTTCGACCTGTCCTACTTCCACCTGTATTCACTGTCACGCTGAACCTTGGTGATAATGATTGTGACGAAGCACAACGATGTCGATTGGTACAGTATATTGGCGGAGATTTCTAGTAATGGTCCGAAAAGCCTCATTAGATTTACAACTGGCTTCGTCCCTTCGTGTGCTAATATGACGTTGTTAATGACGTATAATATTACATGTACAGTGCGTATCGGTTATAGTGTGGTCGTATACAAGAATATACTGCTTACAAGAATGAACACTCATTTTTTCATAATCATAACACATATTTTATGTGTACATTTATTCTTACATGCAGTATTATCGCATAGTAGAATATATCGGCCCTAAGAATGGATTTTGTGTAGCATAATATGCCAGATTAGTGCAAAGTGTATCGCCTGTAGTAATAACATCTGTGCTCTGTGCATACTCAATACAATAATATTCAACACAAAAAGAGAGTTATGTCCAAGGGAGCATTGGAGAATCACTTTTTCTGTCCAGTCAGACTCTTTCTTCCGACTTCTCTCGTATCCGCTGCTCCGCAGTCGCCTAGCACGACCGCGAGTCTGATTGATCCGTGTGTACGTGTATCATGTGTACGTGTCTACATGCCAAACGTGCGCGCATACATGTACATGTACATGTACATGTATGATGTCACACGTGCATATGATATGTCACACGTGATTTATCGTCTGTAAGAAATATCGGCAATAAGAATCAAATGTCGTTTTTCAAACACCCACGCTATAACCGATACCTACTGTACATGTATTGCAATAATATATGGATGCGAATCATCGCTTTACTCTGTTTGGGTGTTAGCCAACCACGGCAATAAAGATAAGGAGGGGTTTTATTAAAGAGAGAAACCTTATGATCACCTATACATTGCCACAGAAGTAGCGACGAACTCCATCATTTGACATTAGTTAAGTTGAACTGTCCACCTCTCCACACTGCGCGCTTGGCCCACATTCACCACACCACACCATAGCGAGGAAGTATTAGTTTGTTCTTGGGTACTGAGATGTTCCATACCCTCCAGGCAGCTCTTTCGCTCATTGAGGGCTCCTCGGCGGGCGTCGATATCACTAGATAACGGAATCAACAGGAGATAAAGGAATGAGGAGGCGCGATTGCGCACATTCTGCATAGAAAAGTGGCATACCCAAGGAAGTGGACAGAGGACAGGATGAAGGATCCGGTTGTTCTTCTTCTACTTCATGTGCAGAATGAACGTAACAGTAGTGGTGCTACATAGTGGTAGCAAGAGTATAATTATAAAGTTATTAGTGAATAAATTGAAATGTATAACCCATACTGTGGCCCCGTGACTGACAGTCTGTGGGTAGTACTGGTTTGATGTGTTGGACAGGTACATGTCATATACATGACTAGATGTACATGTACATGTAGGCCATCATCTACAATTATACTACTACCGTAATACTATACTATTACTTTGAGAACGGGGTTATTCACAACACCAATACTGGCAATAGCGTGAAGCCTGACCGTGAAGTCAGAACCAAAGCAAAAAGACTAGAGGTTTTGCAGAGCGAACGTTCGCGCGAATTTTCGTTTGACGTCACCTGGTCACGAAAAGCGAAACAACGTTACTTCGTACGAACGTTCGCAGCTACATGTACATGTACACGTGGCTTTGAACGCGAACGTAACGCAGGAAACGCGAACACGAGTACTAAAAAACAGTTCACACTTGGAGCGAGTCGTGATCTTGTACTGGCTCAAGACTAGAGAGTTCTCGATGCACAGCCGTCTTCACAGAAAGAGGAGAGCGAAGACAATCAGATTCTGTATTGCGGTGGCCGTGGCGCAGAGTTTCATGAAGATGAATCACCAGAGAACGAACGCACACATCTTCGGCCTGCGCTTTTTTGTGTGAAGTACCGGTGAAATTTCCCTACAAGGGACACCATGACGTACAGATCGAGTGGGGGCCGGGAGTCAATCAAGGTATTTCCCCTTCTCGCCAAATTTTGGTTTCTACTGCTGAGGCAGAGTTCTGCATGCAGGATGCAGGATGCAGGATGCAGGATGGGATCAAAGACTAGCGCCAGCTAGGGCTAGGCCGATCGAGACTACAGTCTGTATCGGCTATAGCGTACCCTTTTGATTTCCGTGATTTTATCACTATAACCGATGCATCACTATATGCGATACGATCGATTTTTTTCGATCGACACATGAAAGGCAAGGAAATATTTCCAGCATGGCGTTTTGACAAATGAGCATGCTGCATAGTTGACAGTGCCCGCATTTCCAGAAAAAATTCTGTTATGTACATGTACATGAGTCACTATCAAAATAAGCAACGTGAAGAAAGTAAAAAAAAAGGGCCTTTGATATTATTGCAACATGTATTTTAAAGTTATCACTATAGCCGATTATAATGTAGTGTGTTATGCATGTTTTGATTGTATGTTGCCATCATATTATCCGATATATCATTATATCCGATAATATTGGTTATAGTGATATTTGTACTGGATAAAATACGTTTTGCTTTTGATATTTCGTACCAATATCACTGTAGCCAATATATTCTTATATCCGGTCACTCTATAGCCGATACAGACTGTACAGTCTAGTACAGACTCAGTACAGTACATATGCCATGGCAGATGACTGTACTCTGTAGTCTTTACTTGTTGTGTCAGCTACATGTATGACTGTTCAGTGTTCTGCACTACGTCTACGACTGTCGACTGCAGCCACAGGCGTACATACACAGGTCAGGTTAGCGCTATGATAAGATGACCATGATGACTATGATCACGAATCGATGACAAAATCATTGAGAACCACTATGAGAATGAGCAGTAGATCTACACACAGACTCAGAAGTCTGTCAGAAAGGCGAATCTAGCTGCAGAGTAGATGTACACTATACAGTGTACACCTGGTAGATAAATACACGCATGCGCATGTAACTGTTTGTGTAACGGACTACTTTGATCTGCGTGCAGTGCTTCGTTGTGCTGAAGTCTTTCCGGATCTTCACTGCAGTGGCTCGAGTCTCTCGGTTCGTGCGTGTCCGCTTGCCCAAGCAGACCATACGCCTGCTGGAAAATCTGATTATTAGATGCTCCCTGTGGCTGCGATTGCTCGCTGCTTGACCCTCACCCCAACACATCACGGTAAGAACTATTCAGCGATCCCAGAGCAATGTTTCTTCTTATCTTTCCTGAACGAACTTTGCGCGGGATTTTCATTCAGCGATCGCAGTCTGCAAGCCTAGGATGTGAACAGGAGACTACGATGATAGTATAATTATTATCTCCACTAGGTCAGCATGGGGGCCTGCACCATCGCAGGAGATGGACAATGCATTTTCCGTGCACCATCGCACCCGGTGCTGGATGCACCTTTCCTGTGTCCTGCTAGCAATGGAAGGGAGAACCATCGCACCCGGTGCTGGATGCACCTTTCCTGTGTCCTGCTAGCAATGGAAGGGAGCGTAAGAAAAGGATACTTGAAGGACACCAGGCTGTGCTGACCTCCCCTACTTCCTAGATGCTCACGTCAAAAGCCGGTGAAACGGGGTGTGAACCGTGAGCGGCAATGGGCTGGGTAGATCACTCCCCCACCCCAAAGTGTACGGCGCGCATGTACTAGTAAACGAACGCTGGAAGGTGATACAGTCATGTACAATCGTAGTTACTAGAATATCAGTCATAGCGTGAGTTCACTCACACTTCACTGGAAAAGAGGGGCATGGAAAAAAAGGTTTTTGGATAATGTGCTCCGATGCAATTATTATTTTGCACTTATCATGCGACAAAAGCGACATGGACACTGACTCGTTCTCAAAGCCATGAGTTGGCAAGGCCATCCGTGTGACTTCGGCATCATTTTGAGAAAAGCAGACGCCTGTGAGTGCTGATAGGTGGCACCAGTATTATGGAAAAGTATTATTGCAAGATCCGAATGTTACTGGAAGCCAGGTGTTGCTGTACAGTTCTTTTCCATGGAGGGTGCATGTGCAATTTACTTCCATGTACTGTCGTGGACATGGAGATCCGGTCGCACGTCTAGCCACCCGCCCCAGGGCGTTGGCCAAGCAGCCGTGGGTAAGCAGGACGAACGCGTAAACACATGTATGCGTTGCAGCGCGCAGGTCGCATCGGATCAGCATGACTAGACTGTGCACTGCAAGTCTGCATGGAACGTTCTGTACGCGCTGTAGGCGCCGACCCCGGTCAATCGACTGGATTTCCATGTCCGCTACAGCACTAGGCACTGCATGCGCAGTGCTGCTCAATGAAATCTAGTCGCGTCACTCACGTTTGCGCCTTGCACCTTTCTTCCCAGCCCGGTGTTCGCTGGTCTTGGGGTGTACAACGCCCGGCGCGTACTGGGGTGGCGCGACTGGATTTCATTGAGCAGAACTGTACTTTGCCATGCATCAATATGTTGCAGGGACCAACAACGTACAAAACTTGTGAATCGTGGATCACAGTCGCTGATCCGGTGCGTGCGTGCCCTTCAAGGGGAGTCATCGCCGGGACATTTTTCAAAAATGAAGCCAAATCCTGCATTTTGAGCGAGAAAAAAAAGGGGGGGGGTTCCGGGCACCCACTCACCCAGGAACCCATACGGGGCAGGCGCCTGTTGATTGTCCCTAGTATTACCTGCCGCCCCTGCGCATGGCGTCGCAGAAAGTGATGTTGATTGTGCGTGAGGCACATGATGCTGACTAAATTAAAACTGCATGCATCCGGGCACAAAGAGATGAACACAAAAATAATAGTTACTAGTACTGGAAAGATGATTTCCACGATAGAACTGTAGCATATTAATTTTGATTGTATGGATTGGGTTTCGCGTAAAGGATCCCCTGGATAGGCTTGGGCAGAACGGGAGGGAATGGGGGGGGGGGAGTTACCTACACAATGTGTACATAATATTGCCCCTCCCCTTGGGCAGGAGACGGAAAGGGGAGGAGGGGGGGGGGGGAAGGGCTACATTGATACTATCTGCACACTGTTTACGTGTCAAATACTTTGGCAGAGAGTAGGGAGGGGGGGGGGGGGGGGGTATAAATGTCTTGTTCACCAAACATCTTTCTCAGGGATGCATATCTACTTACTTGCCAAACCCGACGACATTTCCTTGACATTTATGGCGTGGCCATCATAGACAGCCACTGCCGTTCGCCAAATGCGAGAGCTCCGAAAATATTCTTCCTTCCCACTGTTCGAATGAGTCATGTCATCATGGATTAATGGCTTGCTGTTTTTATGTTCTGTTTCAATTTGCTACAGCTTAGTGAAGACTACTGTGAACGTGATTCAAGATGCCATCCGCTTGGGAAAGCAAAGTTTTCAAGGGACTTACCTCCACAATGATCAGAACGTTCACAGCGGATGATTTGCGAAGGAAGTGTGCGTCGCAAAGCCTGATCACTCAGAGCCAAAAGACGAAGTTCGCAGTTCTCGTAGGTGCGGCTATGCAAAACGAGGCATTGTTGGACGCCGTACGATCGGGAGACGACAGATCGTTCCATCTCTTCTTGGAGTGCATTCGCGAGGTTGAGCCCGAGGCCAACGTAAGAGCGATCCTGGAGAAACTGGACCAGATTGACAAGTATCGAGCAGCAGCGGGTGAGGTCACTTGGCTGTGCAACGAATTACACCTGTACAATGTTCTACTGTGTGAGCATTCACTTGTCACCGCGCTCCGTATAATATTACCTTTTACGACCTAAAAACGGAACTAGGAAAGGGGCGGTCGACTTACAATCGTGGTTCAACTGCCGTTAAACCGGGAAATTGAGGTTCCAAGTAGGGTGATTCGACTTATAACAGGGATCGACTTAAAAACTGTATGCTCTGCGCTTGGGTCGCACAGTGCTTGGGCGGACAGTTTTCAAACTTCCTTTTTACTAAATCTACACGCTATACATGTACTGAAATTAATATAGAAAGAAAAAAGGGTTTGCGGGGGGGGGGGGGGGGGTGGGGGTGGGGGGGGGGGGGGAAGAGGGGGCTTGTATACTAAATCGGCGGACGAAACTGTTTCGTTCTTTGTGGATGCATCAGCACAGTACAGAGAAAATGAGGCTGAACTGGATAGAACTGAAAAGGTCAATGTGTTCAATTTTTCAAAGCCAGATTTTAACCAGGCCCGAACCTACCTTGGCAAATTACTCGAACTAACAAGTCATTGAGCTCTGCGTAATGCAAACAGTGAATGCACTACCCCACGTGTCTACCGCTGTGTGTGCGTGTGTGTGTGTGTGAGCACGTACGCGTGTGTAAACCTGTGTCTCATGACATCAGTTGTCACTGTGGCCGGGAGTTTCGCAGTCACCAGAACCTCACTCGCCGATCGAAGTTCTGTTCTCCGTGACTGAAACGCTGTCAGTCCTTTCAGGACCTATCGTCATCTGCAGATGGGCATTATTGTGTTGTGTTTTAGTGTGTGTGAGAGACGGCAAAAACCTAGGGTGCATTTTTTAGATGAAGTAGACTGTGCATGACGTTAGATATTTGTTGCCATACTAGGCAATTTGGGTATGCCCCGCTGCCTTGTTCTAGCAGGAATGTGTGCTTCTTTTTTTCATATACTGCAGCAGCAGCACCCCAGGCCGCTGAGCCAGATGCATCTCCGATCAGTAAGCCCCCAGCAGCTCCGAGGAAGCCGTGTCCTGGTACGTTAACTTTACTTGTCCACCACATATTCTTTACCTACAATACTACAGTAAACCCTGTGACTAACAACCACCCCTTGGGGCCAGAGAAAGCGGTCTTTAGTGGCAGGTGGTCTTTAGTTAGAGGTTTGCACCGCACAGCCATAATGTGAATGTGAGACCGTCCGTTCCTGGCGAAGTGGTCTGTAGTAGCAGGCTGGTCGCTAGCCACGGTGGTCTGTAGTTACAGGTTTTACTGTATTGGGCGATGAAGAACGGAGCCCCGCTAAAGACCAGCCTAAACGTTCACCAAGCACAGCATACCAATGTACACAAGGTGACTCGACTGGGCATAGACTTGAAATAGGAATGGTCTAGGCTAGGAGGCTGACCCCCCCCCCCCCCCCTCTCCCAGTTTTTGGCGACCGACAGTACTGTTTGCTCTGAGAACCAGCACTGTGTTAAGGCATTACGTCATCGTTCGGGGTGCTTGCATGCAGTGACAGACATCACTGCTAAGTCACTGCACTCATAGCATACTATACATGATGATTTTACATTCGCATGACGTCATAGGGAATGATGTCGATGATGTGCTCAAATCTGCTTCTTACATTTTGTTTGTGATCAGCTTTGGTCTTGCTTTCTCTGGTATGTTAACGTGGCCCATTATCATCTTCATTGTACACACTGGGGACAACATCAGTCATGGATTTATAGTCACGCCGAAGAGAGAGAGGGGGGGGGGGGGGGAGGGCTTGAGTGTAGTGCTCCAGATACAGTAAAACTACAGACCACCGTGACTAGCGACCAGCCTGGTACTACAGACCACTTCACCGGGCACGAACGGTGTCACATTCATATAATAATGGTAGTGCGGTGCAAACCTCTAACTAAGGACCACCTGCCACTTTGGCCGCATCCAATTTTCAACCTGTACTACTGCTACCTGTATACACTGTCACACTGAACATTGGAAACACAAAATTTCTGCCAAACATGGCCAGGCCGAAAATAGCCGAAAATAGAT